TCCCTCGTGTGCCTTGTCGACTCAGTTCTCTCTCTCTCTCTCTCTCTCTCTCTCTCTCTCTCTCTCTCCTACATATATATCGACAGCAACAAATATTCACGATAGCGAAATTAAGGAGGACGTGACGACGTCGAAGATTGCAAGAGCCGTGTCGCTTCCTGGCTGCTAGATATCTCTAATTGCAGGCAGCGACACGTATCGCTTAACAGCTGCGTAATCACTTTAGAAGGCATCTCTCGGAATTCGCATATGACGGAGGGATTATATTCTAAAACGGTTACATAGCATGTGAATATGCTTACGCACTTAATTATGATTTCTTGAAATTTCGTATATCTTCTAAACTAATATAAAATTCTTATACCATTAAATTTCGTATCCATTAAATATATCTACAATTTTATAAATATATATTTTATTAAGATAATTTTATACCTATTTATTTTTTAATATTTTCTGATAGAATTTTTTACATTAATTTTAAAAAAATTATATTTGAAGATTTATCAATATCAATTTTTTTTAAGTTTATCTATAATTATATATTATAAATTTTTTACTATTTCTTTTTAAATTAATGAGAGTAAACTCGTTAGCTCTAATTCGTTATCTCTAAATTGCATGTGTAATAATGAAAAATTACGTAATGTATGAAAATTAGACGTATTTAACGTTCAGGGGGTTCTCGCAAAATAATAATATAACAACATTAAAATAATAATAACTTTTATATTTAGTGCATACTTTGTAGTAAAAGTTAGCTGTACCGCTATCAGTATGCTCCGGAAAAAAAAGCGAGCTCCTTTTTTAAGATTCTTTCCCGAAACGGAAATTGGTTATGTTCGGTGACGGAAATAAAAGGGAGATGCGCGCCACCGTGATCTTGCGTCGCGCTCTGCTTTACGCCGTGAAATATTCATTTTCTTTCACCGTAGTTAAATTTTAAACAGGATCTGTCTCCCCTCCCCCTGCGGACCCGCGCGCGGGTCTCGACGTAAGGAAGGGCCGTCCAGGATTTAATTTAAGTTTCGCTACAAGTTCGCACCAGGTCGAGCGTATTCCAGCGGCATATAATTTCGCGCGCGTTGTTCCGCACGGACCGCACGTTGGAAATGAACGTATACGTACCGAACGTCACAGTCGTCGGTGTCGCGTCGCTCGGTCGGTTTGCGAGCTGCTGACGGCACACGGCTAGGGCCAACCGCTGCGCTGTATGCCGATGACGCGGGGTACAGCTAATGCGCGCCAGATAACGACGATAACGAGATACTTGACACCCAAAACGAGCACACTCGGGTGTATCGCACCTGCGAAGCGATTGTTAAGCAACGCGACGACGAAGGACGAAGCGCAACACCCGGCAGCAAGCGTGTCGCTCTCGCGCAATCCATCACTAACGGCGATTCATCTGTGCTCCTTCTTACGCTAAGCTGTGATGTTACCTTATTAAATATCCTTCCAGTGCAGAATATTGCAGCGGAATACACTCTGCGCGTATACGATTACTAGACTTGAAAATATAAATAGACGGATATATTTCTTGCTCCTCCGCGGTTATTAATAACTTTCATTTACACACATTTATACCTATCTCGCATAAGAAACGTAATGATATCAATAAATCTACCACCAATAAATCAAATATAAGAAAACACTTGAAAATGTATTTGAATACACGGAAAGAACACGTTTTGCTGAAGTATTTAAAAATTTAACTAGATACAGATTTGAAAATAACTTTAAACTATCGAAATAATTAGGCTCAAGCTGCTAGAATGTCAAAACTTCTTGCTCATCATTCCTGAATTTTCTACATAATTATTTTAATGGTCCAACACAATTATTCTCAGAATTGTATCTAATTAAAATTTTTGATTTGACTTCAACAAAATCGTTCTTTCATTTGATATATTAGGGAAATGTAATTTCATACGACTAAACTTCTCATAAAGTTGAAGAAAATTTTGTTTTATTCAGCAATTTGAAAGCTTTTTTTTCTCATGGAACTCGAAATCTATATCGTATAAAAATAAATTTCGTTAAAAGTAATTTGAAAATGTGTCGAGGTAAAAATTCTCCGCGTAGCAATGGGGATTAAATCCGATGTTTGGATTTGTCGCCGTGTGAATTACTATTTTCCGTCGTCGCGATATTCCGCTGGGCACCGTCAGGCCTAGATCTTTTAGTGTCGGCGTAAATTTATCGCGGCGGAGCCGCGCGTCGGCGAACAAGGTAAATCAAATTAGAAACGTATTCGCGATACGACGTATTCAGCACGGCAGCCTAGATCTGTGGCGGAGATTATTTTAAGGGGCAGCCGCGAGGCGGCGAAACGCCAGAGCGAATGAATATGAAATGTGCGAAAGAACTATGCTGAATCGTTACTCTAAATCCTTTCGCCGCGGTGCTCTGCATAACGAGAAAATGACTTGGTGTAACTTTCTCCCTTCCTCTCTGCCTCTCTCTCTCTCTTTCCCTCTTTCTCACTGAGATTCACTTAACTCCGCGCCACGAAAACCGCAAGATGCCTTCAAACTAGAAACATCAGCCACACGTTTCTGCGCTTCCTCAATCTCACATGCGGCTCCAGATGCACTTTAAATGTATGTCTAAAGCGTTACGTTATATTTCCCTACGTACGATAACTAATATTATCCAAACTTTCTGAAATCTCTTATCGCATCTGTACACATTGCAGAGAAAAACATTTCTTTACATTCAGTATTTCTGTTTATTTGGTTTACATTTATTCCATTGAAATGATATATAATTTTAAATGAAACATTATTTTGCTTAATACGAATTTTGCAATTCTGTTATTAAACTAATTGTTATTAATATTTTTGATGAGAAAAAACACGATTGTTTGAAACAATTTCTTAGAAATTTATTAGAGCTAAAGAAATATTTCTCTCTGTACGTAGTTGATACAGTTGATATAAGGAACGTCTCGACCGCCTTCTGCAGATGTTCATTAGAGTCATATCGTGATTAATGGAGCTATATTCTTTCTATATTCTACTTCTATTAATCTTCCGTATATTTTCCTATTCACCTATTTCTACAGAAGAGGTGCGATCAAACTAAAACTACCTGTTTACGATTTCGTGAAACGATTTCGTTTTAATCCCGGAACACAGCGCGACGACGAATTTCTGTAGAGAGCACCGACGAATCTCGAGGGGGAGGAGGAAGGAGAGAGAGAGAGAGAGAGAAGCAGGGATGCCTATAAGCTCTTTCATAAGACCCTGTATTTGAACCCCGTCACATCGCCCCGGCGAGCAGCGGCGCGTCGACCGGAAGGCTCGCCTTATTTCTCCTCCCGGCAACTTCGGCCGAGGGAGAGATAAATCCCGTCAACGTTCGCGGCAACTTCCGAGCTCCGCGGAACCGAATAACGGATATTACGGAGGCGGAGGCTCTCTCTTCCCCCCGGGCTTCGGTGAGGGGAGGAGGCGAGAGCGACACAACTCCGGGACTCGAATAAACCTCGAATTGTGCCGCGTGCCCGACCGACACGCAATATCCCGGGAGAAACGAGACACACGTGGGGCCGCCGGTGTTACACAAGCATCGCTTTAACGCGAGAGCCTGGTTCGACGTGTACTTGCAACATTCGCGCGCGCGGAATATTTCGGCGTCCCGGCGGGATGGAGAACACCCGCGGGATGTTTTAGTTTACAAGCCCGACACGTTACTTAAGGGCATGTAACTAAATTTCCATGCAAATACGTAATTTACGCAACAAGTTCGCTAATCTCACAATCGTCGTTGTACTTGTCCAAAATTCTCACGCCCAAGTTCTCCTTTCAGCAAAGAAAAAAAAAAGGTCTCTCTCTCTCTCTCTCTTAATCGCACAAATCTATTTCTTGATTTATTTTCCGAATGTGTTACTGTAATTACAATTATCCGAATTAATTATACGAATTAATATTGACAGCATTAATTAACAGCATTCTAATGAAAATAATCTTGCCCATTCAATAACAGCATTAATAACATTCAATAACAATATTAATGAAACAAGTAATATTTTATTAAAACAAGAGCATGACGCATTTGTTCTTTTAACCCTAGATATAAACAAGCTCCTTTTTTGCCTATACACACTGGAGTCCTGCAGGGGATTCTATCTATATTTATTATCATAACTCCAACAAAAATGGACGTTTTTCAATTAATTTTTCTTCAATCAATCGAGAACTAATCAAGAAACAGGTCCGTAACTTATAAAAAATCGATAGAATTAAGGAGCTCCGATACATCCGGATTAAAAGTCCAGAAACACGAAGAAAAAAAATCTCAATTTAACAAATTGCGCTGGAGTCCCGGAGACGCCATCGCTTTTTTCCATGTAGATACTCTTATTAGGTAATAATTATTGTAGTCTGTAGAGGAGAGCAGATAAATTAAACACAATATACACGTGCGCAAAAGTTCTTGCAGTTTCCTAAACAAATCGCGAACATGAACAAATTATTTAAGATATGAAAGCTTCAATATGCAGTCTACGTACATACGTTAGCTAAGTTAGCGTAGTTTTAGGATGAATTTTGCTAATGACATCGAAACTAACTACAGGGGGGACGTCGATACTCGGCCGAACAGCTCGGAACTGCGTGGCAAGAGGAAGTCGTGCGACGTTGTATGCGCGACGCGGATTTCTATAACTACTTCGCTCCTCTGGTGCACTCGCTTGTCTATCCACGCGTCTCCTTCGCGGGCCGAACGCGGCCTACGACAACTCGAACCGGTACGACCGGAAAAAGAACCGGCAGAATTCTCTATTTCTCCTTCCGTCCCTCCCTTCGGCGCGTCCCGCTGTGATCTCTTTCTCCGCGCGCATTGTCGAAACGAGCGCGCGCTATAATCAGATCCCGGAGGCATTAAAATCCCTCGGGAAACATTGGCCCCGCGCTCGCGCACGAGTCCCACGACAATATTCCCTTTTCTTACATTTGCGCAGAGGTCAAGTATATGCTGCCGGCGCTGTGCGAGAAAATGAGGCAGTCACGTGTAGTATAGCGCCGAGTACGCGGCGCCGCTTCTCCACCGGATTATCCCCGGAACTTGTTCCATAAGCGCGAGCACGTTTATTACGGCGAACGACTTTAGCGATCGGGAGGAGCCGACACGTCCTTTCCATTTCATTCCCCTCCGCTAAGGCAAAACGACAGAGATTTTATATTACGAGTAAACGCGAACGATATGAGGCGCATCGAAAGGGATAAAGAGCGAAGTGAAGTACTTTTTACAAATATATATTCCGATCGTATTTCTTTTTTTTCAAAAAATGTAAAGTTGTAATTGACACTTTTTTCCCCCTTTCAAACGGAATCATTGCGAAAGCGCGATAAATAGAGAAAAGAGAGAGAAAGAGAGAGAGAAAGAGAGGAAAATGCGTGTTAATAATTTCACGTCAATACGACAAAAATGATGTATAGCGTTCCGACTGCGTGGTTTTATTAACAAAAAAAAAAAGCTCGTCAGCGCTCGAGTGATACTATACTAGTTTCAAATGATTACCCGTACCCAGGAATGCCCGGAGACGCAAATAGAATACGCGCTTTCAGCTGTTTGCTGCGATTCCACCCCCGATCTCGTCAGAGCGTATATTTGCACAGTCCGGCAAAGAGGAGCGACATCGGCCCGATTTTTCGGGGAGCGAAAAATCGGGCCGCTCCGTGCAGATATGAAAAATTTGCACGCTCAAGTGGGCTATCTAAATTTGCTAGCACGCGCGCGCGCGAGAAAACGTCGACCGGGGTGGGTTCTAAGAATAGCCCGGTTTCCCAGTTTCGGCCGGTGATACACACCTATACGCGTGTATACATTCGGAGGGAAAATACCGGGAAAATACACGCGCGTTGCGCAAAATATTCGGATGGTGGGGCGCTGGCGGGGAGGGGGAGGGGGGGTAGGACAATGTTTATCTAAGAAGAACTCGACGAACACACGCGCTTTTCCACGCGCGACACAGTTTTCCACCCGGGCTGTACCCGGTGTTTTCCCGACGCATCTTTATTTACCCCGCTCCGGCCGGGTGCGCGCAGCTACGTTGCGTAAATAAAAAAGATTCGGGGTATCGTATTCATTTAATCCAGTCAAACGTATACGTGTATACGTGTACAATTGTAATCGGACGCCCACAGCAGTTGTCCGGTTACCTTTTATTTCGCGGAATGAAATAAAGGCTATTGAGATCGACGCGCGCGCCGGCCTCCGGCCGATACTCTTCGTTGTATACGTCAGATATGTTCAGAGCATTAAAAAAGAAAGAAAAAAAAATGGAGTTTTTTCACCGCGGACTGGAGGATGCGCTCCGACGTGGAGGATCGCGCGCGGTCACGTGCAGTGATCGCGTCATGTGAACAATTCGAAAACGACGTGTTTATAGCGTTCGCGTCGTTCGACCGTCTCTCTTTCGACCTGGGACTCCGAATTCCACACCGGCGTGAATGGCAAATTCGCTACGCGCCGCGCCGCCCGCTCGTCGCGTGCGTATATAACCTGTACATGTGTGGACTTACCGGGCGGTCCGGCTTCAGACTCCTCGAGATCTCGCGCGGCAGCCACGGGGCGAGCAGCATCCACCGACGATGAGACCCTGGGTGACGCGTTCACCGCCGCTGGCGTAGAACTCACCGCGGTGCGGTACCTCGGCACTGACCGGACGACGCGAAAAAAAAAGATCCACGGAGCACACGGGTGGCGCACGACACTGAATCGCGCGCGGCGTGTGTTGTGTGGTGTGTGTCCGTGTGTGTGTGTGTGTGTGTCTCTGATTGACGTACGTCTCACCTCACGCGACGGAAATCGCGCGACGACCGACGATCGCACGAACGGTAACTAGTATACGATAACGGGCAGACTGTGAGAGCGAAAGGAGAGCGACGTGCGAAATCCCTCCGCGGCGAAGGTCGAAGCGCGACTGATTTGAAGTGCGCCGCGCGTCGCGCGCGGCAAGTGGTGACGGTACGCCGTGAAGTGCGCGCGCGCCTCGCTCGCGTCCCTCCCCGCCCTCCGCCACTGTCCCGCTCGCTCGCTCGCGCTACCGCTTCTCTTCCTCGCTCGCACACCTCGGGTCGCGCCGCGAGCGAGTCTCCCGCGATATGTATACCTGTCAATCTCTCACGGGCGGCCTCACACGATTATTTCCTACGCGCCGGCAAAGTTAAACGTCGCCCGCCTCTGTCATTTGCAATTTTATAATTTCGCCCGATTATCGTCTCGTAAAGACTCTCCCTGGGACCGTATTAGATGAGCGCTTCAGGCTCTTTCCCGCGCGACCTCGTGCGTCCGTATAAAGCGTGTCCTGAGAACGGAAAACGGCTCTAAACTCACGCTAAGTATCCTTCTATTTTTTTCGTTTCTTTCACTCTTTTTTTTTTTTTACTTTTCTAATTTTCTCGCGAATCGATATTTCGTCGACGACCTTGCGGTCTCGCATGGCATACTCCGATTTCTGATCGCGTTGCAGATGTGTAATTTGCAACTTTCGTAACTCCGTGTAATTAGGAGCTGTAAAGAAGTTGTAATCGCGTTAAATGTCGCTCTACCCGCTCTATCCTTTCGACCGCGCCGTTGGAAATGAAATAATTTCGATCTCGTGCGTTATATTTCCACTCGCGGCCGCGCCGACATCCCGTACCTGTCAATCTCCCCGGTGTCGCACGATTATTTTGCTTATCCTGACAGACTTCGCGGGAATAAACATTCGCGATATGTAATTTGCAATTTTATGATCCGTCGCAATTATCACCTGAAATTATCATCTAGTGGAAAGCCGTTATAATTATATCAAACGCCTCTTTATCCCGCGTTTTCAATCATGTGAATATACATATTGGGCCCTGAATATTTCAATCTGCCAAGCCCATTGATAATGATTTTCCCATCCGCGACTTTATATGATTTAATAATGATTGTCCGTTACATGAAATAATTATTATTGTTATTGTCATTAAACACTTTCGCGTTGCCATGCTGCATTTCCAATTTTGATTTATGCAGAGTACGCTAGTGTTTTATGCCGGAATTATTATACGGGAAATCATTTACGCCAATTATCGATATATGATCGTAAAATTAACTGAAGTGTAGCCATGAGTGCGAATTATCATTTGCAATCAAGATCGAATAATCGGCGATGGACAATGGTACCAGCGTATAATATTTGTAATTCTCGAATATGTGTTTTACGCGCCGGTTAAAATTTTATTACATGAGAGATCGGCTTTAACGCTTTCATATGTATTTCATTGTTCATCCGTGCATAATTTTAATTTATCATTAGATATCGATTATTTTTACATTGTATATGTACACATGACGTCTTATATGGGGATTATATATATATACGCGCACGAGAAATGTCGCATGAACGGCAAAGAGATTTCGCGATGATGGAACGCACAATAAGACAGCGCTATGTAGGCTCCATTATGAAGAGGCACCTATTGTGCCTTTCCGTTGTATGTATGTGCATACGTGTCGTGAAACAAAGCACGACAAAGAGCAAAACACGTAAACCCGGGCGATAAACAAATGGTTGTCAAGCACCCGAAAGAACCCACTGCTGTCGGGCAATAAGCATTGAATTATGGCCCGAGAAGTAATAAGATCTGTGTACTATATAAATGGGCCGTTTAAAGACAATGCTATTGTCAAGCGTGAAATATAGAAGCAAAATTTATATCGACATTAAGGAATGTTACACTAAGTTAATGTTGCCTCAAGCAGAATAATTCGTCGCGATAACGTCATTAAAATGTCATTTTGACGTTAATCGTGAATCATTGATCGAAAAGTGACTTTCAATAATCATTTTAGAGTCATTTTGATGCAAATTTGATGTTGTAGCTTTTTGTTCTACTTGGATACGTTTTAAATAACGCAACAATCTAGGTAACATAAAGATTAAAATTGGAACATAATTAGACATCTTCGAGAGACGTCTAAAAAGCATCTCTAAAAGACACTTAAAAGACATTTTAAAAACGTCTTATGTTCCGCTTTTGGATTTTATATTGTTTGGGAAGCTAATTACAAATAAATGACGAAATACATTTTTCATGGTGAAATTAGAAAGGCAAGGGAAGCGAAAGAGAAGGAGAGTTTGAGCGAAAAAAAAAAAGAATTGTGGAGTCAAGGAATTATTGTAAGCCAAAAGTCTCTTGGCTACAGGCCGATCTATACCCAATAAAGATTGATATATATAAATACATTTTTCATGATGGGACAGAGGGACGTGCCGGTTGAACGAGAAGAAATAACAATAGTCGAAGAAAAAGTCTTTTATTACGAAAACCAATTTCTCGTGTTCAGAAGCTGCTTTTCCCGGTATCAGTGTCCCGCGCGCAAAGAGAACACATGAGAGACGTGCCGTGGATTATTTACAGAAAATTCCGAACGCGAAGTTAGTTATTCGTACCGTCGAGAGTAACGTGCGCGACACGAGTGGCGACCGTTTGATTGCACATGATGGTGGGAAAAGTTGTCGTCGGATGCCCGAGCGCGAACGTGACGAAATGTGTGCAGATGTGTACACGCTCTCTCGACATAATCTCGATTAGCGATCGCGACATCGTCGAATAAGGACAGCGCCTTGCCCCCTTCCTCCCTCCCATCCCTCGGGTACCCGGCATTTTAATGACGCGCGCGGATTCGTGTTTCTCATAATGGATATGAAGAGCGAAAATATGGGCGCCACGTCGAGCCGGCGCGTTTCTCGACCGCAAGACATATCGTGTCCGTGACACGCAACCCTTTCTCGTGCATACATTTCTCTCCTTTTCTTTTTCGTTCCTCTTATTTTTTTTTTCTATCCTTTGAACCTCCGCGCGGGCACGTGCGAGTTTTCGTGATGCATGAGTGATGAATATGCAGGACGTGAGCGATAGAGGCGACGGCGGCGACGGCGGCGACGGCGGCGGCGGCGGCGACGGCGGCGGCGGCGGCGGCAGCGGCGGCGACGACGGCGATGGAGATGACGGTAACGATGCTTGGCGATAATGGTAATGGTAATGATGATGACGACAAGAAAAGCGTGAGCCGCGAGACGGTCGGGTTGTGTGGCGCCGCTTACGTGTGGGGGACACTCCACACGTATATCCGTGTCTTTATCGTTCGGCCGTGTAGATGTTCCGTGAAGTTTGACGTCAACGAGAGGAGAGTAGATGCGGCAAGATGACCCCCTCGTCGTATCCTCCTTCAGTTACGACGCGGGTGCTACACGGGGAAAAGAAAGAGGAGTGAATATTAACGTGGGAAGCGACCGCTCTCGCGCCCGTGGCAGGTACGCGCGCGGAATTATTAACTAGAGCTAAGATGATAAGCCGATGATAAAGCCGAGAGGAGAACAGCCCTCGTCGATTTTCACACCTCCCGAAATTGTACGCAGAGGCGCTAGGTGCCGTGAATGATGACTGATCGGTGCGCAATAATTAGTTCGCGATAATTAGTTCGTCCACGCGACATGCCAGTTTTTTTTATTTTTTTTTAGTTCGTCGGATGCGATGATTTTTTTTTTTAGTCCATTGCGCTGTCGTGCTTGGTGGCTTTGACATACCGTTCATGATGTATTTCGCGCTCTTTAGCGCGGGCCTGCCTCTGATGCGGATTGTAACTCGTAATATCAAAACTAGATTAGCTAAAAAATTAAGTTAAAAACGCAAAGTTAATACGACGCCAATTTTGTCAGGTGACGTATAGAAAATTGGCGATCGAAAAATTCTATCGCGCGTTCCCGCGTCTTCTCGCTCTTTCTTGCAAAACCATGAAGTGGTTCGGTTTCAAAAAGCAAAAAACGGGAAACGAGAAAAACAATGATTGCTCACAAAAGTATTTAAAGAACTATATATATTATTTATTAAAAAAAGTAGATTTCGCTATATAACCTGAAAAGTGATATGAATGAAATTAATTAGCTATATCTCACGTACTTTCGGCCACTTTCGCGGGTTCAGCTTCCGCTGGAGCTGCGGGTGTTGCGTCTGCGGGTGCGGCTGCAGGTACGGCGCCTTCGGCTGGTGGTGCGGCCGGTGCACCTTCCGCTGGAGCTGCGGGAGGAGCAGTTCCTTCGGCCGGAGGAGCTCCTTCCGCCGGCGGTGCCGCAGGAGCGCCTTCCGCTGGTGCTGCTGGTGTCGCACCTACACAATTTTACTTCTTTATTTTACAAAAGCTGCTAAAATTCTTATTTCGCATAATAGATTGATCACAATTCTTCTTTATAGAGTATCCTTTTGCATTAAAAAAATTAAAAGCAGGATTGACAATGATTAAAATTGATAATGGGAATTAATGATCGATCGACATCAATCTATTAACTGTAGCGTACAAAAATAGAATTTATCGACAAGCAGAACGTTTTGCATTCATCTATTATTTTAATATTAATTATGTATAGCATAGCGTTATAAATATAATGTATATTTAACAATCGATGGAAGCTGTTATTAATTTATATTATTATACTATATATATTATTATATATAGTTATTATATTATTATATTATAAATATATATTGTATTTTATATTTAACATATAATATTTAACAATACAGTTTCCACCAATTGTTTATTTAAGTTTCAGCTGCTCTTGCTGCAAATATAGTAATCCACGAAACACACGTAGTATTCACGACTAAAGAATTAATGTACATACAATTGAAATTCATTTTACATTTTTTGACAATTGAATATAGTTTTTGTAAAATAATATCCATTGTATTTTATTAATATAAAAGAATTAACTAAAACGAATGGAATAAAACCAACCTTCCGCTGGAGGTGCAGCGGGTGCTCCTTCTGCGGGTGCACCCTCCGCAGGAGCAGCGGGGGGTGCAGAACCTTCGGCTGGAGGTGCTCCTTCAGCAGGTACACCCTCCGCTGGCGGGGCTGTTCCTTCCGCAGGTGCAGCTCCTTCTGCCGGTGGCGCAGCCCCTTCTGCCGGTGGCGCAGCCCCTTCTGCTGGCGGCGCAGCACCTTCCGCCGGTGGTGCAGCACCTTCCGTAGGTGGTGCGGCGCCTTCCACAGGGGCTGCTGCAGGTGCGCCTTCTGTGCGTACAATTAACATTCTCTTGATAATTACAAGATTATATTTTCTTAATAATTATAGAAAAGATGAAGGTGGCGCGCGTTCTGTATCAAATTTTCGATAAAGAAAATTTTTTTGAAAAACAAACGGGTCGCTAAAACATAATCTTGTTAAGTGTTGTGTATTTTTCGGAATATTTAAGACGTTCACCAGCGGATGCTGGCGCAGCTCCGTCCGCCGGCGGAGCACCCTCGGTCGCTGGGACAGCAGGAACCCCTTCGACCGGAGGTTCCGATGAAACAACCGGTGTCGGCGCGGGAACTGGTGCGGGTTCCGCTGGCGGAGGTGCAGGTGCCGGAGCTGGGGCTGGCGCCGGTTCTGGGGTCGGCGTTGGTTCCGGTGGTGGTGGTTCCGCCGCAGGTGCTTCGGCCTGTTCGCCCTCCTAATGAATCGTCATAAAAAACCGTGCATTATTCAAAATGAATTCGATTGATGATTTGATTGATTATCCGGCGGCATCTTTATCATCTGGACGTATTAATTATACAGCATATTCATATTAGCAAATTAATACGTATTACAGCGTTAATAATATTCCAAAGTTACCGGAGAACTTTGAAAGTTAGCGCGACTGTATGATAGCATTTCTTTCCAAGCGTTTTGCGATTTCTTTCCGAGATGAAGATCGGATAAAAGTAAAAAGAGACGCAGGCTATTTCATTAAGATTGGAAAGTTTGAAAATGCGATTGGTAAACCCGAAACGAGAGGGGGGAGGGGGGAGGTAATTTCGTCGCGGAGATCATCATGAAAAGCGCTTCCACGAACAAAACACAGAATCGCGCGTGAAGTTGCGCGAGCCGTCACCGACACGCGCATTAAATTGCGTGATTAACGGTCAGCGCGCACGTTTCGCAAATGTACTCGCATTAAACCGCCGTTTATAGATACGTCATTTGTCCCGCTTTCGATAATAATGCTTTATGCAACGTTCACGGCCGCGAAGCTTACGACGCGACGCGACGCGATGCAACGCGCCGCGCGCTTCCCGCTCGGCCTCGTTGACGGCGTTTCGCGCCATAAATCATCGCAGCCATTGTGATCGGGCGAATATTGTCAAGATAATTAAACAATGTGCACGACACCCGATATGATTATAAATACGGGCGAATGCGTGAAACCCGTGTCGAACGAGGGTGGCTGCGGCGACGGCAGCATGTCGGGAACGATCGATGAATCTCGAAAATAAATTGCGAAAATGAACACGTGTAAGCGTAACGATCGAACGAAAAAGAGCGCGCTCGACGTTTGCCCGGAGTTGATATAATGACGGCTTTGTTGGAAATGTCGTTTAATTGGATATATCAACGTCCATTATCGGGACACAAATTAGCGCGATAATTAATAATAAACGCAAATGAAAGAAACTGTGATGTAACTGCGAGCGTTAAATTGTAAAGCTAATACGTAATTTAAAAAAAAAATGAACGGATAGGGACTGTAAATGTGAGAATTTAAATATAATATTTTTAATTAATAAATGTGAAAAGGGGAAAATATGCGAAACGGCAAAGGGGATTGCAATTTTTCGGGAAATTAAATAAATCGCATCTAATCACGAGCATATCAATGATCGAATTAAAATAAATTGTCGATCAAAATCGTTGTTCGGCGTGTATTTTCGTTTCTGGAAAATACTGATCATCGGTGAAATACTTCTCGCAAATGGGAGGGAAATGAACAGATCCATAAATCAATAAAGCAGATTGAAATTGTCAAAGCACACAACAGCGTGTGTATCATAGCAAACGTGATGAAGCTGTGTCGAAAGCGTCACTCAATAGCGAATAGTTATGAAGCGAAATCCAGTTAGTGACATACCTACCGTATCTCTGGGTATTGGCTTATCTGCAAATTGAAAAGCTTTTCGGCATTATTCTTATTAATTAACGCTGTGATGACGGCTCAAAATACAAATCCTTTGCAGTATATGTTGCTATATCAGTTGTATCTTTGCGAAAAAAATTACCAAAAGTCGAAAAATAATAAGAAAAATGCCAAGAGCGTATATATCTTTTGTCGAAAAGCTTTTAATTTTAGATCGCAATAGACATAAATAATAAAAATATTATTTAAGTAAATAATAGAGATATTAATAAAAATGTTTTTCTAAATAATTAATCTAATTTCGAAAAAATATTATTATGTATCTTATATCATTAAAAAGTGATTAATTAGTATCTCTCTACACTATTTACTTGGCGAGAAGTAAATAAACAAAAAAATAATTATTTAACAAACATAAAATATAAAAGGTACATAAAATATAAAAGGTACATAAAATGTCGGATATTATCTTATTATACATATCAAAGATTAAAACAAAAACTCTCACAGGTGGAATATGAAAGGAATAGGAGGAAAAACACGTAGGAAAATGACCACACATAGAGATTTTGAGTACGTTAAATATTTTGCTTTACAATAAACCTTAAGTAACATCTTCCCCCCATTATTCTCTCTACAATAATACATCTCCCCTCGCATTTGATTTGCAGAAAGACAAGTTTTATTTTACTTCTTTTTTTTTGTGTGTGAATCCTGCACGCAATTCTAGTGTTCTACGGTGATTTACAAGGTCCATTAAAAAAATACGTTACGTCCGTAAAAAAAAGATGGGACAGGCACACGAGTAGAGTGTGGAGTATAGAGCTACGGATCGGATATTGGACGTCAAAAAATTTCGATACAATCTGGGACGTACGAGCAATCATAAACGGACAGACGGACGGGGCAAGATTTTTTTTACGTGCAACTCACGTTGTGTAACGGGACACATATTAAATTAAATGAATCGATCGTTAGAAAAAAAAAATGTAGAGGAGGTTCTCTGGAGTTTTCCTGCATCGAGCGGGTTATTGACGATGACGGACAGACGAATCCTGCGTTTTTCTCTCGGAACCGATCGAGAATGCGGATATTTTCAAAGCTCTCATGCCTCCACCGGTGTCGGTGGCGCCGCGTCTTCCTCCTTTACCTTCTTTTCGTCGCCCTTCTTCGACCAGTCCGGTTTCTTCTGCAAAATCGAGGAAACGTTGCGTCAAATACATGAAAAAATATCGTTACACACGTTGAAAATTAAACGCGCACACTGGTGTTAGCAGTGTCGGGGATGAACGCTTGCAAAGCTGGGCTATCTGATAATACCAGAGGGGGGGGGGCAGGGCGGGGGCGCGGGGTCAAAAACTCCTGAAAGGGGCTATTCAGTCCCGGACTGCCAAAAATCTAGAGAACGAGTTCTAGACAAAAATTGCTTCGTGGTCATGGTCGTTGTCGTGGATCGTGTCGCCATATACCGTTCAAATTGCGAATTTCTGCGCCAGCTTTTCGGGATTCGCCAGTTCTCGTACTGGCAAAAAATTCTCCGGGAACGCTTCCGGAAAATGTCGCCCGGCGTTACGCGCTCAGTCACGAAGCATCTACAAAGCCGTGCAGATTGTTAGTGAAAATAAAAAAAAACGAAAAGAGACGGCAGAAGAGAATCGCGAGTCTCTGACAGAAAAAAAAAGAAAATAAAAAGAATTTAAATGGAGATTAAAATAGAGAAACTAAGGACGACGCGCGGCTTCCAACGTTGTCGGGGAATGTTGGGAGCGATGCGTTCTAAACATCGTGAGGAAAATCACGAGCAAGCGGAACATAATATTGAAGAAAAGATTGCGCTGAAATCACCACGAACGTTAAAAACGAAGGGGAGCTTCTCCACTATCCTATATCTCACCATTCTCCCACTTTCAAACGCACATACACATCGCATAACACGCGCGCACGATCTCTATTCGTTCTTCTACACCTATATCAACTCTCATCTATCACACGCGTCAATCTCCCCTACGCAAGCAAGTGACGAGCTACAAGTTGGCTGTTAAAGTTTTACCTTATCTTTTGACGCATTCTGCGAACATAATGCAAGAGCAACATTATTAGTCGACAGATAAGACGTGGACACTGATTAAGCAGTACATTTAAATATCACTTAACGAGTAACGCGTCGTTCGTGGCTCACATGGGCGGTGAGCCACGATCGACAGCGTGACTGAGCACGCATATTGATCGTCGAAAGGATATTATCCTCTTAATTATTATTTATTGCAAATTAAAAGAAAGATAACAAGAGATTTTTTTGTGTAAAAAAAAACTATCAAAATGCGTGGCACGATTGTACACAAACAAAAAAAAAAGACAGAGCAACAATTTCTACACAGTTCTGAAAGCATGGCGGCCGAGTGATGGCGATAAGGCAAGCTACAAAAAAGGGTTTCAATTGCGTGATCAAACGACTTTAGTTTCAGAGAGTGCGTGTTTCAGTTTTTTTTTTCCAGGCGAGCTATTCCTCTTTCTATTGATCTCCTCTTTTATTTCTAACACTTTGCATTCCGGTAGCAGTTCCGGCGGCACGAACGGATCTTGCGTGAGAAAGTGTGGCAATTAACACGTGTAAAAAGAAGATAAACGAGGCGAGAGTGTGGTGCAAAAAAAAACGGAAGGCAACAATATAATTAGATAGTGAAAGAGTAGAAAAACGCGAGTGTGGGCAGGCATGTGTGAGTAAAAGCGCTTCTGCCATTATGTACGAAATAAAAAAGTGGAACTGTCAGGCTTCAAATATATATTTCGCAAGCCAATCTCACCTTTTTGCGTTCCCCTCTTAATCTTATATTTTATTTACTTCGCGTGTTGGATTATGTACTGTATGCTATCGCGAACATTTCTGCGAAATTGCATGGACGGTGACAAGGGCGAGAGGGAAAGGAGAACGCGAAATAAAATTCAGATATGGATATACAAATTGGACGGTACTCTAATCGCCGCGTGATGTGTGTCGGAGAAAAAAAAATACATCAAGATAAAGGAAATTAAATGACGCCTCAGAGAAAAGCGAATTAACAAAGTTTTAGAGAGACGAAAAAAAAAAGAAAGAGAGAAAGAGCAAAAGAGAGGAAAACGGTACCGATCCCTCGATAACTGCCGACCTTTCTCCTTATCGAATATTTGAAATACGCGCTCGCGCGTAACGTCGTCTCGCAAGAATTTCTCTTATCGCGCAAGAAAATACGAGCGCGGCGCGCCACGCCGCGCCGGGGTGCGAAAGTCATATCTGATTCTGCATAAAATACAAGGTGCTACGAGCGCATTAACATTCTCGTACACAGCGTCACGTTTCCATTACGCGTAACGGAGAAACAATCGGGTATCGAGATCAGTTCGAGTTATCGAGTTTCGCATCCGACGGAACGCCGCGAGAGACAAAGTCGAGAAGGAAAAATGAAAATCAAGAGCTATCAAAATTCGTCGCGCTGCAGTGAGAAATTCCCCGCGGAGACGAAAGGAATAAACCGTGAAGATAAGAAAAAGAAAACGCGAGAAAGAGAACAAAGGAGAGAGAGAGAGGACGAAATCTGCCGATGAAGGATACGTGAGAGAGCATATCTCGGAGAGACACGCGCAGAGGGAACACATCTGACTTGTTCACGTGCGCTCTTTCTTCGATCGTTTATTGCCACAACTTATCGCTTTTCATATATATAACAGTTGTACGTGAATATTTTACGCAGAGTCAGCTTCTCCCTACGTCGCTCGTTTTCGACCGTCTAGTCCGCGCGGAGGAGAGGGATGTAATCAAATGTCGTGGGGGAGGAAAGGAGAGGGGGCGGCTAACTTTTAGGAATTGTTCGAGCAATTTTCTCACTCGTTAATTTGTTTTCCGCGACGCTAACGAACTAGTTTGACATCAATTCGAATGAACGTCGACGGCGAAAATGCGCTGGTGAACGCGCGAAACGTCGATGGAGAACGATATCAAAAGTGGCGCTCTATACGCATTTGTTTTCTGTTTTTTCTTTTTTTCTTCTTTCCCATGCGCTTTTTCACAACTCATTTTCACGCGCGCGCGCTTTCAGATCGACTGTACAAATGCGATCGGATCGTGTTAGTGTTTCTTCATATGTGTGTGTGTATGTGTGTATACGCGTGTGTATAGAAGTTTCTTTTTTCTGGCTTTTCCGTTTGTTCTCTCGAATTCGTTTTGTGCGTCGTAATTAATAATGTTTGTATTTTATTGAGATTTCGCACTCAAACTGTTTTATTCTCTTTATATTAAATCTACTTCTTGGTCTGCCATTCTGCCTTCTCGGGCTTCTTGGCCTGTGGAGAACAACACAAATTGCCTAGTCAACTACCACTACTACTACGGATACAAGTATGTACATATCTATACGGCGGTCCTTTTGAGGAGATCCCGCTTACTCGACGAGAGAAATAATCGTCCATATAATAAAATCTTTTTAAATTATGAATGAATCATTATCTATTAATAATATATCAGCTAATTGCTGTAATATGCGGAATACTTGCACGTAAGAAACTTGTAAGATCATGTCGAGCAGTGAGAATCGATATCAGCTTAGTTGTCAAAATCAGTAACAAATAACAGAGATAATACATATCTATAATATGAATGCAATTACAAGTGTAAACATATAAACTTTACTAATACTTTACTTATTACTAATTAAATTTAATTACTTATTACTAATTAAACATTGATTGTTTATAACAAAAAAATTATGATAATCTCGATACCTTCTGTAAAGATTTTTAAATCTAATTAATTTTCAGAATGCGAAGGCACCCTGTATACGTACAATTATTATTCAAATTACTGCAGTCATTGATTATTGCAATGATACATTTTGCGGTTAATCGATTTGCATAAATTCAACATCCTCGAAATGACAATAGCCTCATATATATTTAACTGAAAGTATCCGCGGTTGGATGAATCGATGATTAATTACCGCGCGATTACCCGCTGCTCGAGATTTCCGAGAATTTTAGCTTTCAAATTAGCTGATAAAATAACGTTCCTCCAGGGAAATGTATCGTCACAAATAGGTATTTTAATAGCAATAATATCGAAATGCAAACAACTGCGATGAAAATTGCGGATCTCCTAAATTGGACGCGGTACACTGAACGGAAAAAAACTGCTTGAACGAAGAAAACCTGCCAATTGGGTTTTGTACACAAAAAGAAAACCAGGGCTACAAAAACTGTTTTTTGATTCATGATAAAACATTTTCTATACTACTACACGCCTACCCGTCGCGTGCGGTCGTAAAAAATGAGCGTCCCTTGCAAAACTCAATAACTATCAATGAATTTATCAGTCAAAATTAAGAAGAGATATAAAATACAATAACAAAATAGAAATATAAGACGTAACTGAATGAATAAAGGTGAAATAAAAATCATATTAAATACTGCTGAAATCGACAAAATAACACATGAGGTAAAATTCTCAAACTTATATTTCTATAAGCTTTTATATTAAGATTTCTTTCGTCTTGATAAATTCAAAGAACGCTTGAGTGGACCTTCGACGGGTAGGGAAAAAAACATTTTTGCAAAACGATTCACATCGCCTAGACGCGAAGATTTTATCGAAAACGATCATCCTTACCTCCTTATCCTCCTCCTCCAAGGTGAATTCCTTCTTCTTGACTTGTTTCAGCTGATTACGGAAATTGAACTCGGCGGCTTTCTTTTGGAGCTTGGCGAACTTGTTCTCGTATTTAGACACCTTCTTCAGGGTTGGTTTCATGCTGAAAGCGACAAGAAAATAATACAATAAAATACATATATTCTTAGTACAAGTATTTTCCAGCTGGAAATTGCGTGATTCTTGATATTATGAAGTAGGAACGAAAGATACTTACAATTTACCTCGGAGATCGTTGACCTGGCTGTTCAAGTCCGCGATCTGCACGTATCGAATATTTCCATTAACATCCATTACATTCGATATTGCAACATAATTTATTCACATGCGCACTTTTAATTTTTTCTTTATATACAAGGCATAAGAGAAGAATTTACCATATCGAATACGTCCATCCCTTACAGAAATTTAATATTGCGAAAGTTGCCAAATAATCACTTATTTTGATCGAGTATTAAAGGTACTGTTGGTTGGTGTTTTTAATATTTAAAATAAATAATTATTTGACACTTGCAGAATTAAATTTCCGTAAAGGATTGCGCAATGATATTTATTTGCAACGTGACGATATTCGAGCAAATGTAATTTGAACAAAAAGTATACTCGATACGTTCGAACTTTCAGATTTACAAAGATAAGTTTTTTTCCCCCACGAAACAGTAATTCTTGTATATACAGTAAAGAAACGTCGCGTATTAGGATTAAACGCGGATTAGTGGACTCACGTGAACGGCATGACAATCCAACCACAAACGGTTAATCAAGAGAAAGAAGAAAACGGACACAGAGGGTCAGTCGAATCAAACCGTACATCGGCGTGCGTCCTGCGTGGCAAAAGCACAGGCGAAGAGAGAAAGAGAAAAGGGATGTTACACGTGTTGAGCAAGCGAGCGGATATTCAGCTGGCGAGCCACTCGGCGGATCGAGATTGACAGTAAATTGGCTTGCGGATTAACTGCAATAGCGGATAACGGTGATAGTTTCGGAATAGAGGAGTAAATGATAACGGAAAAGTGGGTGGAAAGAGGGGGAACATGGAAAGAGGGGGGGGGGAGAGAAATCAGTGGAATAAATAATAACTGGGAAAATTGGGATGTTTTTGCTATTCAAAACTTACGACACATGTACAAAAACATTCTAAAATGAAAAGTAAAAGTTTCAGTAAAAAAGAAAACAAAATACATCGACGAGAAAGAGTTTATACTACTCGCAAATACGCGATGAAAACAACACTTTGCTTTGTTTTTTTCTTTTCAAATAGAAATATCGCGGTTAAAGTTATTTCATTTAGCTTTGTGACAATCAAAAACAAACACGTATACGTATACATAAAAATCAATAATTGCAATTTCATAGAGATAGCAGGAAGTTTCTAAGTAGACTAATTGCAATAGCGATTCTAATGCATTTTTACATCTGGACAATTGATAAATTAAATCTTATTTTCATATCTGGATAGATACGCAAATTGACTGTGGGATTGTTTCCACAGAAATATCAAATATCCGTCTAATCAATCGCAGAAACTCATGCAAGGAGTAGAGAAATCGTCGAATTTGTTGCATTACGTACGTAGAATCGGAATAGATCAAATCTTTAAATATATAAGGTCGACTCGTAATTGTCATAGTCGTCATTGTATGAATAGATCTCCGTTTCTGAAAACACTTTTATCGCTCTTACACGGGTGACACAGATTATTCTACTTTTCTGAAACAGTTTCTTCAGAAGCGAGGCTTTGTTCTAAAGCCACTTGTCGGATTCTCTCCCTTTCTTCTTCTCAGGAATCATTTGATCGTTATATTCTTTTTCCCTTATTCTCTTCCTCGCGTAAGTTACGAGAAAGGAAGAGAGCGGGAACGACAAAAGAAAGAGAGAGAGAGAGAGAGAAAGAAAAAAGGAATTGGAATAGAGTGTGAATTTCATTTTGGCCAATCAGGGGACCGGCTGGTCACGATCAGCTCTTTCGTCCGCCGTGGGTGATGAGAAAAAAATTACAAAATCCACTACAATCCGTTTTCTAGACTGCCAGAGCTCTGTTCGTCTCATTCGAAGCGTGAAACTAATCCCACGAAATCGATATCCGGTTGATTTCATTCGCTACATTTTTGCTACCGTTTAATATTATGTCGGATGTAATACGCTCCAATTATCTCAGAATAACGTTTGTTTTCCAAGCAGCGGCGCGTGAACACGTTGAAACTGTTTTGAATGCCGCAAGATAATCGTTGTCGGCATCGTTGTTATAATGCACCACGTGAATTGTATACTGTACCGTAAACAATTCAAGTTCTTGATTATATAAAATTGATTGGACTGGCAACAACAATATTCTGTTCGAAAATAATGAAAGGGAAATAAATTTCTCTCGCAAAATCTTTTCGCGAGAAAAAAGAAAACAAAAATTAAAGAGAACAGAGTTCTGCCAAAAAGAGTCCGCTATTTACAGCCTAATTGAACACCATGACAAGAGGACACTGACAGTCGGGTGTGGTGCGTGCGAATCGGTGCAAAATCAATTTCGCTTCACTTTAAAGACATCGTAGACGCCTGTACGTGTTCACTCCAATGTCTCTCTCGTGTGTGAGTCTGGGATATTTCGTATATACACATCTATATTATCCATCTCACAAAAATCAATGGACGAGAGCAGGGAGGTTCGATCGAACAAAGAGATGGCACAAAAAGAAAAAAAGAAGACGGGGAGACGCGAGGGGGGTGGAAAGGGGGATTGCGATCTGAAGATTTTCACAGCATGGCACTTCGGTTTCGTGATCTCGTAATCCATCTCCTGAGCCAGTCCACCTTTGTGAGAGTTAAAAATGGAAAGGAAAAAAAAACACGTGTGTGACAAGGAGAAAATAGACAGCCGACTCTACAACTTTTAAGGTGTTTATGGGAAGGTATACGATAATCGTTTTCCGAAGTCGTACGAAACTGATTTGTACCCCCATGGTCGACCGAGTGTCTGTATACCCCCTCGTGTCGAACTTTCTGAACGTTTTCAACGCTTTCTTCGACGCGATCTCGCAAATATTGCAAAACGATTACGTTCTTCTTTTTTCTTATCAAACGACAAGTTTGGATAGTTCACAATGTAGATAAGACAACATGCTTTTTTTCAACACGTTCCAGCGACGAAAGTCACGCCTCTTATCGTGAAAATTCGCACGTCTCTATTCACGTGTTATGCTACAATAGAATAGGAATACCGAGTCGATTCGCGACAGGTTGCTTGCTTTTCTTCCTTCGCGATGAATATGAAGTGCCATACTTCTTATCGCGTAGCTACGAGAGTATACGGCGTATTAAGCTCCATTAATTCGACTCGCGATGTTCGTTGAAGATTTTACCAACTTAAATCACGGAGATTAATAGAAAAGTTGGCGATAGGCTAAAGTGCTCATGCAGCTATTAATTCGGCAGCACGTTTTAAATCATTTCATTTTCATAGATTATCGTTATCGTATCCTTTTAATCAGAGAAAACCGTTCAAGCGACTTCGCAGCGATAATTAAATTACTGTGATTGACGTCACGAATATATGTCAATATTCTCTCTAAAGCCAACGTAACGTAAAATAATTGGCGTCTAAAATAACCATCTCGGAATGAATCTGATTTTCAAGAGAGATTTTCAAAGAGAAAAAAAATATTAAGAAAAAGGAATGCAATTTCTGTCAATTTATTATCGCGTAAATATTATTCATCTGTTACACTCACAATATATTAATTAGGTAACGAGAGTATTTATTTGGCGATAATTAATTTACGTAATGAAACACGTTACTCCGGCAAACAGATATTTCAGTAGAATCTACCTTTAATCACGTGACGCTTCGAAATATCAGACAGCGATCGGTCAAGTCTTCAATAACACGAAATTAATCATCATCATAATGGAGCCATTCGCCTGTTTCCTCGTAATCCTGTTACCGTGTCCAACAACGTTAATTAACCCGCGCTCATTACGCCTATACATAACGCGTCTCTTAAACAGTTTATTAGTTAGAAAAGCCATGCATGCGCGGTAAAGCAAATTTATTTGTACTTGGTGAAGGAAGATATCCTTGGGTGTAGCAGAGAGAGTGTTAGGGGCAAGCAGTGGGACAGAATAGGCAAAGAGAGAGGGATAGACAGAGAGAGAGAGAGAGAGAGAGAGAGAGAGAGAGAGAGAGAGAAAACGCATAAAAAGGAAAGAGACGAAGAGACGTAAAGCGTAAGATGAAAAAAAAATGATAAGAGAAAGACACCGTGAAAGTCGTAATTTCCCGATGTGTGTACTGTCGTTTCTTTTCTTTCGCTACCACTTCTGATTTTGCACCGCTTGTGATTTTACACCTACGCACGCACGCACGCACGCACGCACGCACGCACATACACGCGCGCACGTGGTCTCAGGCATATACAGTGTCAGCTTAGCTCTCGCGTGAGACCAAAGGGGGTGCGGGAGGGAGGAGTGATCCCTTTCGGTGATCCTCGTGGGTGATATATATAAGTTTCTTCGATTGCGTACTTTTTTTTTCTGGCAACAAATCTAGGGCAGCTGCTTCTATCACTGCGAAATCTCGTGCGCCCATCTCGTTTCACGATCATTTCTCTCGGCGCGGGCGCGCGCGCGCGAGACGCAACGTTAATTATCACAAAATCTACTCTACGGTCGGCAAATCCGCGCGTGCGAATCAATACTGCAAACTTTAAGAAAGTGTGTACAAGGAGATATATATTTATATATATATATGTGCAGTATATACGGTTACGGAGTATATAGTAACGCAATAGTGGCGTCTTCTCTATAAGCTTGCCCAGCCCTGACTCGAGAGAGTAAAGCTTTTTTTTTTTTTTAATTTTCGTTGGCGAGTTAGTACAAAGCTCAGAGAGATATATTTGCGTTACGGTTAGATAATAGAAAGAAAGAGAAAGAGAGACAGTATAGATTTGTGACAAATAGATACGTTATATAAGAGAGCGAGTGGATACAGTGTGCGTTTAGCCAGACAGCGAAGATAGACGTGGAGAAGTGAACAGGCGGGTTGAGAACGGCACGCTACGCGATAAAAAGAAAAAGAAATAGGAAGAGAAAGAAAGAGAAAAAAAGAGGTAGAGCAAAAAATATGTGACCGACAAAAATGTCTTTCTCGTTGCGGCACTTCATATCCACGTAAAAAAAAAAGAGAAAAATTTCCCTTCCTTATTATTCGCGACGTTCGTCCGTTTTCCGTCACGCTTCGCAAAAAGATCGCGTTAAAAAAAGAAACTAAGATTGATCGTCGTGGATCGTCGGCTAGAGACAGGACTGATCAAGATTATAAAGATTCACGGGGGTAGCACCAAAATGTCGTCGTCAAAAGGTTCTCTTCACTGTGGGAATCCATCGGTTCGCGCCGCCCGGTGCGGACTTGCGTTCGCGCCCCGCGAGTGTGTTTTCTGAACCAAGAAAAACATCGTGAAAGAGAGAACAACAATCGAAAGAGAAACGTATGTACAGAAAGGGGGATGGGCGGAGAACGAGAGACAACGCGAAGAGAGAGACCAGAGGGGGGGGGGGCAAGATACGGGTTGACGCCCTTATCGTCTGATATACGCGAGGGTGAAAGGGGAGGGGGGCGGCAACGAACGGGAGAAAAGTGATCAAAAGAGACGTGCGATCTCTGACGGTTGCTCTCTTTCTCCTCGCATTGTTCGCCGTTGTCGCTGCTTTTCACTTTTCCTGTACCTCGTAGTCCCTTTTCCGAACTTCACGCTCCAAATCCCACTTCTGACCCTCACAAAGGAAGACGCGGTCGTAATACATTTGGCAAATCTTCTTCAACTCCACTACAAAGAATACGGAGAGTCTCTCAGAAATCTTTGGTTCCTCGATATGTTTGCTTTTTTTTTTTGACAACTTAGGCGCAGCGGAAGGGGCACAGGCGGAGCGAGAGACGGACTCTAGTCATCATGTGTGATCGATCGCGCGCGTGACATGCGATGCGAAAGCTGTAGGATCATCTACGTCATCCACGAATCTCGAGTCGCGAAAAAGTCACGTGAAAGTGGAATATTACAAGTATAATATTCAGCTTCCTATCGAACTAAATTAAACGTGGGACATAATAATGAAAATAATTAATTTATAAAATCTTATTTTTAAAATAATATGCGAAGAAAAAACGGCTGCAAATTTAGCTGGAAATCTTTGGAAACATAGAAAGAAGCCATGTTTGGTGTTTGTTGTTCTATTAAAATTATTTTTAGATCTGTCTTAGCCAGATATAAATTTTAAATCTTTCAGCAAGAAAGCTCTTTCCATGTAAAATCCAGATATACATTAATAACGGTAACATTGTTGTTTACTAAATAAATAAACATCACGATATCGAAGGATAATTCTTATTGCATTATATGAAAAAAGCTAAAGTGAGCCCGACTTTACATATTTTAGCGAAGAATATAAAAACCGCGCGGCTCGAATACTAATAGTAATGCCGCGAGAACGGGACGACGCTGGAATCCCGATGAGAGAGAGCCCTTGGAGCTCGCAACAAGCAAAACTTCTAAAAATCTCCGATTCGAGTAAATTGGCGGTCCCTCTCTCGTTCCACGTGCGCGGTAATAAAAGTTGCGCGGCGTTCGAATGCTTAATCGCGCGGGGACGAGTCGGGCGGAGGGAGAGGAAACCCCGAGGTGTTTTTCCTCGGCGTGCGATTCGTGGCGGGCGCGGACTCCGCCCTGTGAAGTCCCTTTTCCGTGAAAATGGAGATCGCCCTGATCGTCGGCCCTGAGCGAGGATATCGTACGGCTGAACATCTTCGAAACTTCGATCTTCGACCCATTCGCACGTCCCGGACTGTCCTGAACGTGATTGGAGGTGGCGCGAATGAAAAAATAAACCGACGCGATCGCGCGCGCATAACGCCGTGTCGACGTGTCTGGTTACCGCACGATTTCTCTTACGGAACCGAAAAATTCTATTATTCTATTATTCTATACTTGTTGCTCGTTTATACCTGTTAAAAGTCTGAATGAGTTTTAATCCGAACGGATTAAAACAATTGAGCAACACAAGGGGACAATTTGAATTGAAATTAAGTGAAAACGAAATCTCGCTTTTGTTTCTCGCGATCGCGCGAGCATCCTCCCGATACGATCTGCACTGCAACTCTCAACGGCACTGTTGGTACCGTCGCATTATCGTTGCGCAGGTGTTTTATATGATAGAAAATCTGCGCAACGACAATATGACGATATTAAAAATGTTACAGAAACAGTTACAGAACTATAGTGCTGGAGATAACACCGCGGCTGCAACGGCCGAATGGCGCCGAATAAAAATAGAAACAAAAGAACGGCGATGCGGATAAAAAAGTTAATGCTTGGGTTTGCGGTTTTCTCCAAACTGTCCCCAAAGTCTCATAGAGAGTTTGGAACATTAGTGTCTCGCGGCATTTCCCTATCTAACAATAAGAGACGTGCAAACGTGCTCGTACACCGAAGGTTCAAAGACCCGTCAACCAGAAACTCCTTCGAGAACCATTCGACCAAGAATGTTACTCGGTCAAGCACGTGAGCGAAGTTAAAAAAAAAATCATGTTGGTAAGGTCGCGGGGAGAAAGAGGGGCGCGGGGTGAAAGTTGGACAAAAATAATCTCTATGCGGGTGACTCGACAGGCTCTCTCTTCTTTAGGCAAGCCGATCGTAATTACCTCCATCTCTTTCAACTTAATTTGCCTCTCGAGGTCATACTTATCGCCCTCGAGTGAGGATAGTCTGTTCCAATATGCCGAACAGATCGTCTGCAGCTCGGCTAAAAGAACAAAAAGTTATTGGAAAAAAAGGCAAAGTGGAGTCCGCTGAATGTGTTTTTCGTCATCCCTGCCGTGTCGGCTGTCTTAAAAAACTCGTTATCGTTTATTATAATATCGTTTGAGAATTGCAGCTTCAAAAATAAGAGAAAAAGGTGAATTAAAATATTACCATACGGTGCTATGTAAAAGTATAAAATTGCGACGGCTGTTATCCAATTCATTGATATCATTAGGATAAGAATGATAACACTTCTACATTCAATTCGATTTGTTATCATTCTTATCGTATCTGTCAACGAATTGTTCCGTCGTAGCTTTTCGTTTTTTTTTTTTCAAAACTTTGCCATGTTTAAAAATGTGATGAAAAATAATGCATGTGACGCCCTGACGGATTCTCCGTGATGTGATTTATAGTATTACTACGAAGGATTATTCGGGGAATGTAATTAATTGGGGGAATGTAATTGAGGGAATGTAATTAATATGGGGGGAGAATAGAAAAGAAATGAGTCTTTCGCGTTGGAAGCGAGAAGCATGAAGCTGACAATCGCGTGATCATTAACTTGTCACGGGAGGCAAGAGGGAGGACGAGGGAAATTCGACGGGGAGGGAGGAAATTCAGCGGGGTGAGAAATACGGGAGGGACCGTGTGAAGAAGGGGATCTTAAGTCTGGCAGTGAGGAGTACTCGCAAGTGTGGAAAAGTGAACAAAATTCTTTCTACTCATGTGCGCCTGCGAGAAATTAAACGTTACTGAAGACAGATCTACGTTGAGCGATTCTACGAGTCGCGAGGGATAACTACGTTAGAGAGCTGCTGCTAAAGAAAATACTCAGCCTCGAAGTGTCTACGCCTAATATTATTACGGACAGCTTTATGAGTAATGCAAATTGGAACAGTCGCTAAGACATAGCGAGATGTGCTTCGCGCGTGAAAGAGAGAAAGAAAGAAAGAAAGATGAAAAAAAAAGAAGAGACGACTAGAAAAGAGTATTTGGCGTTAATCGCAGCTCATCTCTCTCGTTTGCGACAAAAAAAAACTTTTTTTCGACCTCTAAATCCTTCTTGGCGACTTCGTACTCAAGGTCGTACTTCTCCCCCTCGAGAACGTTGATCCTCTTATGATACTGGGTCAGAATGGACTTCACAGTAGCTGTTAAAATTCAAGTCACTCCTTTGAGAAAGTCCTCGCGAACTTAACCGTTTATCGGCGTAGATATCGACGCGTTTGTCGCTACGTAACGGGTACATGTTGTACACGTGGATGTATTGGCCGATATATTTCACAGACGATTCTTATGTTTAAGACTGTCTTAAGTACACAGAAAGAATGACTTTGCTGAAAGATCTTAAAATTCAGCCAAATACAGATATGAAAATAATTTTGTGCTGGATCATCGAAATAATTATGTTGGAAAGTCAAACTGCTTGCTAGAATATCAAAATTTTATGCAGCGTCGCTTATAAACTCAATATTGAGTTTTCAACAAAATTATTTTGATGGCACAAAATTATTTTCAGATCTGTATATCCAGCTAACTTTCAGCAAAGTCGTCCTTTCCGTGTACATAGTTTTAAGTTGTCATAAGCCGTTATCATAATCACAGAGTCGTGTTAGCATTTTCAGACGCTATTTAAGACGGTCTTCAAATAAGAACGGACTCCTTGAATACCGGTCATATATGTATAGTAACGTTTTGCGAGCGATACAAATTCGCGTTTTGCGTGTATGACTTGAACGAACGATGAAGTATAAGGGTGAAGTATGAGAGTGGAAAGTGCGAGAGTCTGGGGGAGGGGGGGGTAAGAGAAACCGGTGTGTGAAAGCTATAAGTCGAAATGTTATAAACTGTCGCTGTTCCGCAGTGGTGTGAGGACAGTCTCAAGTTTCCCAGCGAATGAAAGCGAGCTCTTAAACCGTCCTTCCGGAGAAACGACTTTCGAGCGCTAGACATCGCTGTGAAAATTTGAAACAATCTCGCCGTCTAGGGAGCGACGATACAGATGCACATAGATATTTCGCGCGTAGATCGATAAATAATGGCAAGGGGGAAAACAACGGATGGATGTGTACAATACTTCGCAAAATGAAAACAGCACATCAGAGGTTTTTCGTGAATAATAGAAATCAGTACAACAGTATTATGGTGTGCGCGTAATATGAAGCAGTGTAATAATTTATTATATTCAGATAATACCTGTGTAAACGCGTGTTCCAAAATTAATGTTATTCTGTTATTCTGACGTATTCGGGTTTTGCGAGAAAAATAGAGTGAGCAGTGACAAGCCGTATTAATACAATAATCAAGATGCGAGTAAGATCCATAGTGTTCTTAAATCGCCATTAAAATTCGCCAGAGATTCACGAACAGAGGATTAAATACGAAGAGAGCAGAGAAGAGACAGAAGACAGTAATGAGAGAAATCGCGCGCACATTAATGCGGAAGAGAAAAAAACAAGATGCGGACAGAATCAAGAAAACTCGACGGCGGTTTTTGTGTTACGTAGAGAGATAGAAACAAAAAGAGAAAAGAAAAGTGTGAATGGAGAAAAAAAACGGTGCGACGAAAGAATGCGAAGCTCGTGTCTCTTGCCCGGACCGCAGAACGGAAGCTACGACGAACGATTCAAAAGTTTCAGTAAAGAGCCGTAAATCATTCAGGAAGTTGCTCGATAACGATTACTCATCGGCTCGTTGGTTGATGAAAGTGGCAAGCGATAAGCCGAAATTGCGAATCCGCTCAAAATAAATGGAAGCTTTTAATATTACAATATTTTTTAATAATTATTACAGTAAAATAACTGGAGTAATACAATTCCCTTACAGAAATTTAATACTAGAAGGTAGTAATTAATTATTTATATTGAGTATATTAAAAGCACTGTTGTTCTATATTACTAAAAATAGATAATTTCCAGTATTAAATTGAATTTCTGTAAGGCTTGTAACAAAGCAGAGATTCTTTTCGATTTAACTTTTTTTTTTTAAATGCTCCATTTTTTTTTAATTGTTTGTCATCATTTAGATGCTATTTTTATCGCTATTGAACGGTTAAATATAATAGCCAGCGATGTTGTAAAATTGTGCAATCAGCAATCGCGCGGCGCTGATCCCCTTGCCAAAACTCTAATTGCGTTCGTCGTCGCTTTGCGTAAATGTGCAACCGGGCGGAGATCGCGGTGCGTTACACAAGTGCAACAACATTGAGCGTCGTTGTTACTGGTATCGTGAGTGCCGCGTTATCATACTGCCACGTCGCGTAAACGTTCTCGCAACTCTGTTGCTCTCTCAAAAAAAGTACCTCGAAGTCCTTCTTCTTAACAACATACTCGATGTCAAATTTTTTATCCTCCAATGACGAGATCCTATTGTGGTACTCGCGCAGCACGCGCTTAAGGGTCTCTGTGTGGTTTATCAGAAACAAAATAATGTAACACAATAAAGAGACGCGCACGGGAGAGACGTCGCGTAATTTCGTGTATTCAGATCGTCTGAAGTGTATCTTGGATATTCACGTTTTTTTCACTTACACTTATTTTCTATTGGGATTCGAAAAGTTCAAGATAGAATTTTCAGTTTAATCTTGAAAATCGTATATATGCCAATTACCGTACCTTCCGTATTTTCTATATATTCTCGAAAACAAAATTTACTAACAACAATCTGTAAAAAAAGATTGATAAAACGCGATGGGAAATAGTAGTACAATAAAGTAGTAACATAAAGTTTCGGCCTGTAAAGATGAACACTGCATATTATTATTAATTATTGCGAAAACTTAATGAAAAATTCTCATATTCTACTTTCATTCTTTACATAAATGTAACTTCGCCTGATTAAAGACTATTACACAGATATAAGAAATTTTCCCTTAAAAAAATCAAATTCTTAAAAAAATGATTTGTGCGGTTCAGGCAGGTCGACGTCATATTAGCCTTTCAAATTCATTGTTTCTGTGCAATAATCCTTGCTATTAACCGAATCGATTAAGTGGAGATAAACGTAAATTTGCAGTTTTACTCAGGAACGTTTTACAACGCGAACGAAATTTGTCCGAAAATGTAGGTACTATACTCTGCTAAATATAAAATGTACTATAAATACGGTTTTTCGTAGGATTGCGAAACGAGGCAAAAAGTACCTTCGTTGGCTTCGTCGACGATCTTCGGCTTTCCACAGCGCTCCTCGATTATGCGCCTCCTCTCGGCCGCTTTTCTCTCCTGCTCCTTCTTCAATTCCTCGGCGGCTTTCTTACGCAACAGCAACTGTAAACATATGAAAAATTCGTGAGGTTCGGCACGACGGGGAAGAAAAAACATTTCGTAAGCAGACGAGAGAGGAAAAAGTTTTGGCAGGAAAATTCGCTCTAAAATATTTATGCGCACCCCGCCAACGCGAACCGATTCCTAATAGCATGAAATTGACATAATTTAAATGGAAATGCGAATTTATATTTGGTAGCGGTTTATTATAAACCGTACGAACAATTTACATCATACGCACTGAAGCGGATTATTATTATGCTTAACTGATAAATATAAAATCGCCCATTACGCGATCGCTTAATCGTGTACATTAAAACGGCCATTAAAACAAATAGACTTGAACGCAACGCCATATATAATTAATCTTTGTGTCTACGTAAATGCCGTGTGGTGCAATAACAGAAGAGCGAAATGGAAATAAAGTAATATAAAGCAGTATAAGCTACGACGTGTTAAGCTTACAACGCTCGGGACTCGAGTGGAACGTTTCCGTCCGTGGTTTACTCACGAAATAATTTAAGCTCGCGGCTAACGCCTTTCTCTTACGGTCAAGCGGCGAGATACCTAACCGTCGGTCGGAATTCGGAGGGTAGCAAATATTGACGCAGTGAAAGGAAGGGGATGGAAGGAAGGCGGATTTACGGGAAAATAACATGCCGGCGGCGCGGCGTGCGCAAAAAGATTTCTCCAAGAGGTAATTCTGCATGCACACGCGGGGAAACTTTATGTACTGCGACTGCGAATGTTCGCGACGGTGCATGAAGAGATCGCGGGGGAGGGCGGAGGGGGTGAGGGAGATGCATGGATGTTCTCCGCAGAGAGGATGTTGCGCGACGATGGAAACAGAATGGCGAACGTAAGGCGGGGGCCATAAAGTAAAGGTAAAAAGACGAGAGAAACTTCGGAAAAAGTTTCGGACGCTCCGCGTTTCCCGGGGAAACAGAACATCGAAATACGAAGAGGGAGGGGGAGAGGGAAAGGGGGTGGGGAGGAGAGGCGAGGAGAATAAGAGAAAGTAATAGGGGAATGGATGTATGGGTGATCGTTACGAGAAATATTTCGCGAGAAAAATCGGTGCACAAAGGGCGCAAAGAGGATTACCGTGATATTGACCCGGCCGGCGCGGCGGCGGCGGCGGCTCGAACAACCCGCGCGAGTAAAAGATTATGACGTGCGATGAGGCAATGAGATAAATCGGGAAACGCGGAGGAGTTCGGAAAACTTGCTTGTCGATAATGAACATTCGATGTGCGGTATTGATGTAACATAAAACATACTTCTGAAAGAGCCTGGCGCGGCATTAACCGTTTTCATTGACGATAAAGAGAAATATGACGAACGATTTGCGACGAATTTTACCCGCGATCAATTTTTCAAAGAGGATATCCCTTCCTCCCCTCACCCCGTCCGCGACTTGGGAGAGAACTCGCTCGGACGCGACGCGAACCAAATTCAAAAAGGGAAGAAACAAAAAGGCGGACTTACCCTAAGCTTCTTCTTCCTGTCGGGGGTCATGAAACCCTTCTTCGCCTTCTTGGCTTTGGAAGCCTCTTCGAGGCGGGCGCGGACCTCCGCCCTCTTCCTCTCGGTCTCCGCCTGTTTCCTCTTCTTTTCCTGCATTTTTCGTGCGAAACTCCCTTAAAACATCTCATCTGAGAAAGCCCTGAAGCGCCTTCGTGGTACGCGAATTCAAAAAGTGTGGCGCAATTCGAACTCATCTAACATTTTTCGCACTCCCATCCCTCTTGCCTTTCGAGGCTAAACTTTCGCGAGTCTCAAATTGAAGTGCCAGTGCAGTTACGAAATTTAGTAATTACGACAATACAAATTCTTGGAAATAAATACATGGGAAATTGCAAGTGTACCGATATTAATATACTTTACTAAAATACTAAAAAAAAAATATTAACCTTGATAAATACTAGACTAGAATATTAATCTTAAAATAATTTCTATTGTTATTATATCTTCACTGCAAATTTAAGTGTGTAATAAGTGCCTTTGTATATGTATTTGAATTAGTTAGAATATGTGTCACTTTTACACAGAAAACTAAATCATATACATATATAAAGGCATTTACTACACATTTGAATTTGCAGTGTAGGGCTACATAAACGACTTTCATATCTCTCGCCTAGTATAAACGATTTTCATTATATAATACAAAAGCATAAACAAGGAGAGTTTTCTGTACACTATACATATTTTGCTTCTACCTCAAGGAACGTGGTTATACCGTGGTTTTTGATTATTTTCGCAAAATTAATATCGTTAATTCAGAATATTTGCAACGGATTTTATTTCGTAGTAAAACGAGCGCGTAGTAAGTCCCGTCCCGATGAAAGGATTCCTTTCATCCATGGTAAGTGGCCGTCCTTTAAGAGGCGACTCTACGTTTCATAGCTAGTTTCCCCTCTTACGTACATCCTCGATGCGCTTTCTCTGCAAAAAAAGAGAGAGAGAACATTTCTCGTTAGTATATTCTCTGTGCCGCGGGTCGTATGTACGGCGATATCTGAAACACTTTTTGCAGCACGCGGATCCTTTCGACTGTGAAAAAGGATATTTCTCAACGACGACGACGACGACGACGACAATGGGAGGGGGGGGGGGTGAAAGAGCGCGAGAGAGAGTGCGAGGGGGCGCGAGTTAGAGACGAGAAGAAAAGATTACGCGTTCAGTGTTCCAGATTTCGCCATCAAGAAATACCTTACAAAGCATTAGCGTGTAGCGCGCGACCGTGTTTTCGCGTGTTTCATGGCAATGCGGAGCTAATGGAGTCTGTCTTAAGTGATATAACTTTGTCGCTGTTAAGCGCTACAACAGCGTACCCCGGGCGAGCATCTTGTAATATCGTTTTGCACAAACTGCCGCGTTTCGCTTATGACATTACACGCGCGCGCTCGCGCTTTCCGGTCGACCATTAGCTCTGCCTTCTACAAGCTGTGCAGATCTCACCGACGTGTGAATCAAAAGTAAATCGTAATCGCAGTCGTGTACGGTGCAGAAGCGGTAGCGCGTGGTGAATTTTTGTTAGAATTCTCACGACTTTAATCCTCGAACGGACGTTATTATAATATCGCGACGTGTCGTACGCGTAAAAAACTTTGTTGACAGTTTGTCCTTATAAATAATTAATAATTAATAATTGACTATAAATGACTATTGACTACTAATAACTACTAATGCCTATTGGCTATTAATAATTTACTATTAATAGTTAACGTACACATATCTATTTATGCATAGAAATGCATAATATGAATAGAAATGCGACGGTTTCTTTTTTCTTTCTTTATGCACTTTTATTAATCATTTCTCGATAAATTGTCGATTTAAATTTCGTACAATGCTATGTGCGATGCGTGCTGCGTATAAACTCCGTGTGGTGACATTAATATATAACACATTTATATGAAGAGAAAAATAAAGCGTTAGACACACACAATGCTACAAAGAAGAGCCGGAAGACACAGAAATCACTCCACATGCGATTTGTACCACATATATGGTATCTACTTTACCCCAGATCTGTTCGTTCGTTTTACGTTTGTCTGGTGCGCGTTCTCGAGAACTTTATGTTTTACTATAGCTTCCCAATTAGCTTCAATTGAAGAAAAAGCAAAGGCACGAGAAGACTGTTGAGCGTTTGCTCACAATGGCACGGCAAAGAATGGAGGATCATTTAACGGTTTTATTTATCTGCTTCAATAAATATTGTACGATGTTATAATAAATTTCAAAAGTATATTGCAAAATTGTATGATATTTTAAGTCTGTTAGCAAAATTTAAATCTTTAATGGATTTTTCGTATTTAAATGTTAGGAGCTTGTAACATTTGCGCAGTTCAAACAACGGCGAAGCTGAAATAACTTCAACTGTACACTTGACGCCGGTATAATGCAAGCTTCGTAATTATCAATAGAAAGTTTGTACAAGAAGGACGTTCCCCGCGTCGACTTGCTAAGTTATCGCTCGTGACTCCGAATAAACGAACCGTCTGCAAAACTGTGTTCATATAACAGTGTTTTAATCAGTAAATGGAAGTTCTACCGATCTTCGGTAGAAGACGTTGTCCCCATTGAGTGCACTCGCTGAATTTCGCTTCGCGATATATATTATACCGACAAATATCAGATATTTTCTCGTTTTTAAAGACAAAATTTTTTTCTTCCTCGTGCCATCGTGAGCGAAAGGAATTAAACCGCGACGAGCGGACGAATTGTTTCATAAGTACAACCTAAGAGAGAAACGGTAAATCGATTTGGAAAGAGTGGGGACAGAGGTAGTACAGGATGAATTAGGACGAGAAGAGCATGATGTGACGTTATTAATCGCTAATCTGGGCGATCAAACTCGTCCGAAAACGCTATAAGAATCTCTGGGGTACCCTAGCTCGTGATACATTCTGACATATAGATCCGTGCTTCTGTACTCGTCTATCTCCTCTGTCGCGGAACCTCTCGAACTTGAATCTGTGATTGAAAATCGGGAAAGACTTTGTCCCACCCCTCCCCGTCGCTGTTAAAGGATAACGCGAGTGACGAATAGCTTGCTCGAGTAGCAGGAAAGATGTGGTATAAAGTAAGACGAAGGGATTCGGCACGAAGTAGAGAAGAGAGATTCGCGTTAAATAATGCCGAAATAAGGGGCGAGAGAGCGTGACGATAAATCAGACAAAAAGTCCGGGCCGTAGGGCATATAACGGGGGGAGGAAGGGGGGGGGAGAGAGAGAGACAACGGACATGTCGGTCGTAATACGACCAGTCCCATTTCCCGTTTCCCACGAAGCGGAAATTTTACGGTGAAATTTGCGGGATATATGTTCCCCCGTGCCGCGCATGGGTCCAAAAACCTTCATTAACTTTTACATTTGCGGCCCGCGCCGCGCAAATTGGCTTCATTATACGAAAAGAAAACTCTATCCCACCGCGCAAACGAAGAATTGTCGTCCGCGTGGTGGACATTACGCCGGGAATGATGTCACAATCATCAAGAGTAAAGAGCTCGGGGGAGGGGGGGGAGGGTGGCGCGAAGGGTGGGTGGGCAATGAATTGCTTATTTAAGAACGCAAGAGACGGAGAGTCACCGTACTGGTGGAAAATTTCCGTTCGAGAATCTTTTGAGGATGTACTCTTTCGTGATATAAAAATCAAATATTGAGAATGAAAAGAATATCAAAGTACAAACAAATAAAAAATGAAAGTACGACGAGGGGAGCGGAGGGGGGAAGGGTTGCAACGACCGAGGAATATTGGGAGTGGAAAGTTTCTTACGAAGGAAGGGAAAAAAGAGGAGCGATGGATAATCACGACGAGAAGCGAGCTTCCATGATCGCCTCGTCATTCTACGTAGCATATAAATCTTTTTCAGGGCGCGCAAACTATGTGGCTCATCCTTGACCACCACATCTATATATCCTCTACTAAGCTGCTTCAAAATGCCACTGTAGGAGGAAAAAAAACGAGGCTCTCGGTCTGCTCAAAGTCCTCGGAGCTTTACACATAAAAGCTTGATATCGTAGAAGTATAACATTGAAGGAGAATGATTTATTCATAGAAACGTGTATTTGAATATTTTTTTTTTTAAGAACGGCGTGTCTCTCGTTAAAATATATTACGTTAAAATATTACGATGAAATATGTATAGCATAGAATTAATTTTAATCTTTAGGGATTATAAAATTATAAAATTATGAACATAAATATAAATTAATTTATATTAATTTGTATAAATTGATTTTAAAATTTACTTACTTAATAATAATAATTGTTAAAGAGTAACGCGCTTAATTTAAACTTTTCAATCGGTTATTGAAATTAGATTTTCATCAAATACACTTTCCGTGTAAATCGAGAGATTCGCGGTAGAAACATTCAGTAGAACCACTGTTCTATTTTTATTGACAAGGTCTATACTATTTTCGTTAAAACTACAGTTTATGCTAGCGGTCTCTCACAGAATCGCACAAAAAGCACAAACAATGCATACCTTTCGACAGTAATGCTAATTTGTACTGCTCGATATCAACACGTAGGATGCGAGTGTGGTATTTCAGCGTTTCCGTTGTCCAATATGCGGAACAATAAACGGCGAAAATCCACCGGAGATATGAAAAAGAGAAACGTAACGTTAAGAGATATCCGATACGCGTTTTCCACGGAACCGCATGCCATATGGTCCTTCCTCGCTCGTCCGCCTTTTAAATAACGAATAACGACGCCGAAGACACGAGAAAGAGAAGCCAGATCCGAATACACACCTAACCTCGTCGTCCGCCATGGTGGTGTCTTGGTCTTGTTACGCGCGTCTACCTAAAAAAAAAAAATAACAGAAAATGGTGCAAACGTTATTATCATATATTAATATATGTACAGTGGCTAAAAACACCTTGGTATATCGACACGAGCTATTTAAATAGCGTTGTTAATAGCGTACCATCGGGAAACTCCCCTCTGATCGTTAAAATAAATACGCGCCTGCGAGATGGGGGTGTGCCAGCTGACATGGGATAAGATTGGCCGCGGATGACGCGGATCTGCGAAAGTGTTTGCGCGTGCATATACGTTCCATCGGTTGTCAAACGCGGAGAGACGCTCTTCCGCGCTTCTCCGCGATGCGTAAGTCGCGCCAGCAAATGGTGCGAGCGAAAATAATGGACGGAATCGGACGTCGGGGGTAAATGGAACGCACGGTCGGCGCGCGTTCGCATTCGCCGCACGACGGCGAAATAACATAGCGGATAACCAGAAGAAATTGATCGCCGCGCGACGCGTCTCCTGTCCCATTCGGGATCGCCGCCGACAGGCGCGATCGATTCGTTTCCTGTCGCGCCCGCCCGCCCGCGCCGATAAATCATACGGCTCACGCGTCGTAGATTTCGCCGCTTAAACCGCCCCGCGTATAGCGCGGGGCGAAAAGGCGCGCGCGCGCCGCGGCAACGACGACGGTGTAGAATATCCGGCGCGCGCGAAAATAGACGGCCGCCGGCCGTCCCCACTTTCCCGCGACGTGCCGTCGCGTCGTCGCAGGAACGTCGGGTATAACGTCGACGATCCAAATTTGGATGCAACGGCCACGGCGGTAGATATTCCGCCGTCGGCGGCTTCAACTGGATTCGATGTCGAAACGGCGAGGCGAGCGGATAAACAAAGTCGTGCACGTCTCTATACGAGATAGAGCGAGAGAGAGAGAGAGAGAGGAGCTTGCCGACGAATGCGCACGTCAGCACGTCTCGCTATTTGCGAATGACATTTTGTTCGGCGGAGAAGATGACGATGCTCGAGAGGAAAATATCGCGCGCGTGTATCAGCGAGAGACACGCCGATCTCTCTCTTATTAACCGGAAACTCCGCCGCCGTAGCGAAATATCGCCTGCCCTGATGCCGCGGGTAAGTGGTATCGACTCGCTGGAAAACCGTCTCTCGCCGCCGCGCCCCGAGACGAGGGATCCAACGAAGTTTCAAAACAGATAACTTATATAGGTAAACTTCTGTGCGCGCATATCCGAAATTGTGCAATTCGGTTAGAGAGATAACAATTGCGCCGTTTAGCGGCGCCTCTCGCGCTGCGACGCGCTCGTTGTCGCGGAGCTTCAAAACATTCAAGAAGATGGATTGTACCTCGTCTACGGTGCGACACACTCCGCATTCCGAAAATACTTGTTAGGAGCGTCACGGTTATACAAGCGAAACGTAATGCAACGTAATATAACGAACGGTGAAATAAGATGTCATTAGCAATATGCGGAGTAATATATCAGCCCTTTGTGAACATTTACGTTATTTCGTATTTTTCCCCGCGTGCTTATTGCATATAATAATTATTATTTACACACACACACACACATCCTCGTTTATTAATTATGACAGTAACGCGCAATAATTTGCCGACACCATTTTGATTAAAATTACTGTCAAGTAATAAGAAATATTTTCTGAAAGTTATGGTCTAATTTCACAGAAATATATTTGTCTAAAAATATCTCTTGAATGTTTTAATGCTGAGTTTCTATATATACTCTGCCTTTTGATCTCAGCACAGAGCGTTGACGTGGAATTCGAGCGTTGCATAATCGGGATATAATTTTGTTGCATTGCGTCACGAATGACGTTAGTATGCGAGAAATATTGTATGGGGTATTGAAACTTTATGGAAATCGCACAGTGATCGAGTTTCTTTTTACTTTTCGTCCATTATAACTGTTCGCACTGTGCTGCAGCGCCTTCTTTTATGGGCGATCGCCTTTGCTAAGTATAGATTTCCTCGCGCTCGAACCATTCCGAGACACGTCCTATCCTATCGAGACGCGCGTACCATCTCCGATATCAAAGAGGCAAGCACTGTAAAAATAGACGCCCCGCTAAATCTCATTAAATTATGTGAGACAGTTAAAAAGAAGGCGAAACCCGTTCAGGGGAAGCTATACATTCTACATTGTTGAATCTCGTTAAGTTAAAGAAGATAACGCAAATATTTCCTTTTCCCGTTGAAGAATTATAAATTGCCCTAGAAAGTTTATCGCAGAATAATAATCAAAATAACAATAATGATCTGAACATTCATTGACGGAACTACAATGGAAGTTCTACAATTTCTCTTGATTACGATTAAAATGTGAAAGAAGAAAGATCGAAAGAAAATGGTATGCTCGGTGCACACGTATTTTGTCGAAGTATCCCGAATAACTCGATCAATGATCGAGTCGGGCCTATAAACGGGAAGAGGTTGTCGTTCATCACTTTCAACTGCGCGTCACTTTCGAGACGAACGATCGCTCGTCTATACGATCGCCGATCAGTCACTGCCTCGGACAGAGTCTCGGGGGCGAATCAATCGTCACAACCTTGAAAAGTATCTTTCATACAGCCACTCGTTTCACTGACACTCAAAACTTCTCAACGATTCTCCCTCGAACATCGAAACAGCATTTCAAAAGCAACAACTCATTCCTGGAGGAAGAAATCGGAAGAGTCTTCCATTTCTTTTTCTCCTATATCTTCAAAGATTCTCCAGGCTGCCTGCTGAAGAAACGAAACGGTCGACGGTCCTCCGGGACACTCTCTCGCGCTGGCGACAATGGCGAGGACAAATCGCGAGGGCTACAGGAGGGTAGGCTTACCTTGTGGAGAAAGCTCGCTGGCTGCGACTGGCCAACCGGACCTTAGGCAGCTGACTGTGCCACCGTGGATACCTCGACGACTTCGTGAACCTCCATCGTAGGCCGTTCACGTGGTACAAGCACGACCAATGACGCACCGCCATTGGTCGTAAGCATTTTTAGGCGAGAGCTCTGCCCGCTCTGCTTGCTGCCAAAAATAATCGGAAACTGAAAACGGAGCCGAGCCCGCTTGGTACGCGTCGCTATGGCTTACTCGTTCGTTCGTTGAATCACGCTCACCGTATTGTACCGCGGTTATTAGCAGACGAGAAATGGAGCGGTCTTGAACTCGTTCACCGCCCTCGAATATCGCTAATTAAGATGCGGCTATTAAGGAACAATATATAGAATGGCTCACTAACGTCAGTACATAGTTTTCAATCAAAGAAGCAGTATTCAGTAAATGTATTCTGCAGTAGTATTTGTAAGACGAATTCGAAAGACGATACAAATAAATTTCTTTTTATATGCACGGTTTTAAGGACGCTTCCGATATGCATTTAACAAATATAATTTCAAAGGAGTTAATTCACTTGTGCTAATAAAAGACAGAATATTACATTTTAACGATTTTACATTTATAAATATTTCAGAATATTATATCAATATTTTTACATTTATAAATATCGTAAAATATATGTTTATTTATGACAATTTTATTATTCGTTACGTCGCATTTTGTGAAAGATCCAGTTTGAATAAAAAGATGCATTATTGTTGGAGACAAGTCGAATACACGAAATGTCGTGTAGCCGAGACATAACGAAAAATGAGAGAAGCTTACGTCTCGAATCTTGTAAAAATTATTAATGTCATCCCGTTTGCGCGCGCGTTATGGTAGGGGTGGAAACTGAGATATTATCGGCTCCTTCTGAATTTCTCGCGCCTGCAGCAGCTGTTTGGCACTAAACGCGACGGTAACGATGACGGAAACGTCGACGCGCCGCGACGTAATACAATCGTATCGGCGTAATGTCACCATCGAATTTCAATGAAACTCTTGGCTCGAAGGTAGAAGTTGCACATGCCGCTATGGAGGACTCGCGAAACATCTCTTATCTGTGCAAAAACTGTCAAAGGTCTGATTTCCTTTCTACAGCGTTAATCGTATCGAATATGTTACGCTTTTAGTGATAATGTTTTTACATTTATAAATATCAGTGTATCAATCCATTGTGTTGTTTTATCGATATATACATATATATATATATATATATATATATATATATATATAATAATCCTCGCACATACACAAGGATTAGTAATATTGCGTTACAATATATGTATTACAACAGTACTACAATATATATATACATATAATATCATATTATACGCAAGAGCTGTTATCAATGTTATTAAAATTATGCATTTAGATAAACAAGAAAAAATATTTATTGTGTAATTATATAATTATAAATATGAGAGCAGTATATTATTGAATATTTTATATAAAGGATGGATTAACCTTTTTCATTTTCAAATTATTCAATAGCTACAACAAGGTAGTTATTTAGTTGTATTTTCATACATATTATGTGACAAATAAGCATAATATAATTATAAAAACATTTTAAAACGTTTAAAGACTTTTTTGCATTATCTTCATTACAGCAATATATCAGTTGCATTGTAAACTTATAATAAAAATCTTTTTTTACTTTTTATCAGTAAATTCATTTTAAATATTTCAAAAAAAGTTATAATTTTGCAAACTCTTATTGTAGTACGTTATAATTTTTATCACCAAACTATAACGGGAACAAATAAATAATACCTATAAATACCTATAATTTTACCTATCTAGAAGTTTTTAAATATATATTAAAACTATCTATACAAATCTAAATTTTTTATAATCATTTATACGAAATTAAAAGCAATTAATATATTACATAAAAATATGGCAGAAATATTTTATTTTATAATTCTGAATATGTAGCCATATGGCTACAATGAAAAACGAGAGAATTAAGAGAAATTAAAACAATTTCTAGATCCATTTTACAATGAGAGAATTTTATAAATATTATATAATTACAAAAATTTTAATCAAGAAAGAACAAAATAAATCATAATTATTTTACCTCGAAAGCAGAGAACGAAGCGTCAAGTAGAACAAACCCATCGAGTCAGCCACGTGGCACATGTCGATGTTACGTCGCACAGGTAACGTATCCACGGTAAACTTCATTATCGGTAATGGTTTTTCATTGAAAATATATTATTATTTCTCATATTATTCTATTTTTTATTATATAAAAATTTTGTTTGCATGCTTTTCACTTATATCGCATGATCCAATCTGCTCTCGAAAAATCAATCAAACTTTGCTAACGGAAAAAAGGTGCACAAGTGAAAAAAGCACGTGCGAGCAGACACGTGGTATGTATCGAGACTTGGTCCGACAATTTAGTAGGGTTGGATAATACAGGTCTCTGCGAAGTTGCAGCAGAACATAAAGCTCACGACGTAGGTACTGCGTAATCGAGAAGATGGCGAGAACTTACGGAGGAATTCAAAGTTCTCTCAACTGCTATGTAAAATGTTCAATTTGTATGCGTATACGAATAGATTATGTCGCGTTGACGCCTGATAATGATTGCGTGTTGCAAGATGACCTGCAATATTGCAGGTTCATCAACACGCTGCATGTAGTGCGTGTCACTGTTATTGCAAATATTTCTTGTCAATTAAAATAAAACGAGGGAACAATTATATATACATAATTCTCCGCAACGCATACTTCAATCTTACAAAATGCCTCCCCTAATATAAGGTCAACGTTTTAGCATTTCCTTTGACAAGGCGTCTCCAAAATAATACGCGACCATGTGTAAATATAGATTTTCCGCGTCACCTCGCATCCCGTAACCTTATCGAAGTCTACGGATGTTCACATTGACCGCGATCTATAGCCGCTTAATATCAAGATCATAATTATATATACTTGGCACTGTCCGTGCATTGCTTAATCAGCCTTATACAATCACCTCCCTCGACGTTCACCTCTGGTATTAGAGCCTAAATCCCGTACGATCGGTGGTGCAGACGCGAGCAAAAAGGACGGTATATATGACAGAAGGTGATGGAGGGAAAGAGAAGGGCGCGCGAGGGCTGGAGGGTAAAAGACAGCGCAGGTTCTCTCCTGATGCGTGCACCATCGGTGTCGTAACCTTTAACCTATTCCCTCTCGTCGGAGGGGGGTCACAGGTAGAGCGGAGCCCCTGAGGGGTGCGGGCGAGAGAGGGGGTGGGACGATGAGGTTGAATGTGGTGCGCTCGAACGGATCACAGGGTGAAAAGGGGTTCGCGGGGAGGGCTACCTCTGAACTCGGAGGTGATTGACCCGGCGTCCCTGTTGCCACGACGACGATCCCGTGACGTCACGGGACAAGCCGGGGTTTATGGGTGACCCACATTCCAAAAATAACCGTCACCGACCTGCCCTCCCGTCTCATCGGCCGTTCTCACTCTTCGTCTTCTCTACCCCGTTGCACAAATACACGCGCGCGCGCGCGCGTGCACACACACACACACACACACACATGCCACACGCACGTACGCACGTACGCACGCACACGCGCTCGCGTCGGCAGAGCCACCCCATCCCCTCGCATATCTCAGCATGATTCTCTCTTTCCTCCTTACGACGTATTTTTCTCTCTCTCCATTTCTTCTATATTCGTCCTCGCGGCTGAAACAGGAGGCTATTGCCGCGCGTTAAATCATTATCCAGGTTGGACCGGACTCCACGAAGAGGTGGCGATGAGGTCGAGGTGCACGCAGTGGCACTCGAATAGTCCTGTTATCGATTGACAAGTGACAAGAAATGTATATATGTATAAATGCACCAAGCTAATCATATGCTGTTCTCGCGATCCTGCGGATTATCGCAAGATATAGTAATGCAGATTTATCAGAATGGAGAGAATCAAAAGAAAGCAAAAAAAAAACCGATGATGCTTGCTTTGGATAAGATTAGAATAATTTTGAAATAATTAAGTCAATGCCAATGCACGAGTCAACACGGATGTATAATAATTATTTTATTGTTACATTATCCAGCCACACACATAATTTTTTATAACAATAAAAACTCATACAAACCAACATCCGTATCGGCTCGCATTGGCGTACGTTACTTAATTATTTCTGGGATTTATTTTTAGGAGCCTATTTGCTTTAAATTTAAATTTATAGAATAATTTTGATTCATGCGATTTTTGCTAGGTATGTACATTCTGCTTCTTGATACTTAAATATTAACTCTTAACTTCATTTTGAACTACAACACTGAACTACAACCAATCTCTCACACGTATTATACAATATTAAACTTGCATAGATAAATTAAAAAAAAAAAAAAAATAAATGAGACAATATTTTCAACCACGATGACAGTATTTCAAATACGAATTTCTTTCAAATATTTTTTTAGTGGTATTTCAAATTCCAGCTGTAATTTGTAATTTTTTTTTTATTTATATAAATATATATATTTGCCAATTTGAAAATAATCTTGTGATACGAGTGATGCAATCTGTCTGAAACATCGTACAATCCAATCGTCTACTAAAGTTTGACAAACTTTATGCGATGCTCTAGCCTGCCGATTTGCTGCCAATTTTCTCGGATTAAATAAAATCGCTGTAAGATAAAACTAAGTAATTTACTTCTGTGTATAATTTGTTCTCAAATTCCGCTGAATAAGTAAACAGGTCATGAAACCAAGTCGGTTTTCCTTATATTAGAATTTCTACGGTGGAGCATGCATAGTTTTCCATAGTAGTCACAGTGACTCTGGTTAGAGCACAATTTAACGTGTCGGAGAATAATAAATGGCAACTTTTACCCCTATTATTAGAATTGGAGACGCTGCGCTATTTTATAGCGCAACTTATATTAGATTGAAGCCGACTTTGGACTTTTATAATTTGCATCGGATATAACTCATATAACAATAGAATTCTATTTACAATTTTACGTGGAGTATATTTTAATATATGTGGGAATCTTTTAATATACATTTCGATAGGTGTCTTTTAAATAAAATATGTTAAT